CATGAACATTGAGTGCTCACAAATGCATAACTCCAGGTTACACCACTAAGCAACAGAATCCCAGCTAAAGTTTCATAGAATATTCATTTCTTCACTGGTGATTCCTAAAGAGCATTGGTGGCATTTAAGATACTCACGAGAAACTTCCAAGTTGGGCTACACTAAGCCAAATAAGACTACAATTGCAGTGGTTCTCTTTAATAAGCTTCCCATGAATTATGACTAACAGGTTTCTTCAAGTCATTATTAATTAAAACAAAATATCAAATCTGCAGTTTAATCTTATCAAATCTGGGAAAATATAGCACCAATGTTTTCTTGAGAGAGTACAGTTTGAAAAAAGATATAACTAGATCCCATTTTAAATTTTTTATAAGTTTCATCACTGTGGTGATGTGGGCTGGAATCAGTGTTTTGATGGTACTAAGGAAACTGAATTGATCAAACGAAGGAATGTTTGGTTACCTAGCAATTGCTGCCATGCTTGCCTACTGCTCCCACCCTCAAAGGTAAGTATGAACAGGATAGATGTGTGGTGCTGTTGGCAGCCCAGCTATTTTGGTTGATGCCTAAAAATATGTGCTGAAGGTCATGTGTGCTCCCAAAACCTTTGATCCAGAGTGTCCTGCTCCTAATTCCAAGTTATTCAGAGGTGAAAGAAAGGCACATTTAGAATGATGATAATTTGCATTATTACTTAATATACTCAAGAGCTGATTTGCTGGATTGTTTACATATTGGGGCTCCATTTAAATCATACCCAAGAAGATGGAACATGACCCCGAATCTATGGAATGTTTTGAGTTAGCAGGTGAAAATAGAAAAGTATTTGCACTTTCACCCAACCTGAATAGGTTTCTGAGCAGAAAGACAAAAGAGAAGCAGTGAACAGGAATAGCTGAGAAGACAAATCACAGGGTATCTGCCTTCCCCACTCTACAACAACAGCGATATGTCCTCACATCTTTCATCACAGCAGTGACTTGCGCTATGCTCCCAAGTGACAATAGTAAAGTTACAGTTGCCCAGAACTTTGTCATTTCCTGGAAATGGGAAGATCTTGCTACAAAAGTTATCTCTACCACCTTGCTATAAAGCCACTATGGTGAAATGCTTTGAGTGTTTGGAAAACATGGTTCAAATCCCTGTTCAGCCATGGAAACTTTGTGGGTGACCTTGGACAAGTCACACTCTCAGCCTCCGATGAAGTCAATGGCAATCCCTTCTAACCCAGTTTTGACAAGAAAATCTTGTTCGCCTTAGAATCATAGAGTTGGAAAAGACCACAAGGGCCATCCAATCCAATCCCCTGCCATGCAACAAAATATAATCGAAGTACTCCCGAGAAATGGCCATCCAGATTCTAATTAAAAGAGGTGGAGTATCGAGAGAAGGAGATTCTATTACATTCCAAGACAGAGAGTTCCACTGTTGAACATCTCTAACCTTCAGGAAGTTCTTCCAGTGTTTTGATAGAATCTCCTTTCCTGCAATTTGAACCATTTGCTCTGAGTCCTAGCCTTCAGAGAAGCACAAAATAAGCCTGTCCTATCCTCAATGTGATATCTTTACAAATATTTAAACATAGCTATCATGCCACCTCTCAGTCTTTTTAAAATATAAACTTAATAGTTTAGAGAGCTAGATCGTGGTAAGCTGCAAATGAGTTGAAACCACACAACAGGACAGAAGGTTATATTCCTGCTTCTTGAGAAAAAGTCATTTTCAACCAGGGATTCAATGTTTCAAAAATACTGAATTTCATCCTTCTTTTGGAGGACTGTTTTATGATGCGTTCCTCACAAAGCTTACTTTGGAGTGACCAAAGTATGAATTTCAGGCACATGTCCAATATTTTGCTAATATCCCACATTTGAAATTCAATGCTTATTTCTGTGGTTCTGGTCTTCAGTATTCAGCTAAAGCAATTTTCTACTAGGTTATGATTCATTAGAATTGCCAGATTCCTAAAGGCATGGTATCTTTGTTAAGTGGACTTACATTTGTGGGAATTATAATTGTGCAGTTGTGCACTGCCCATATCCAGTAAAGAGCTGTTGTTACATTACTCCATAGCACAGCCAGCCAAGAGCCCGAGGCACAGTGGGACCAATGTGCATTTCATCAGTCCCAATTACCATCAGGTACCAATGCACATCAGATATTCTTGCCAGTGTCGCGTTATACATCGTCACAATTCAGTAACTGGGTTTCTTAGCACCACTGTATTGTAACTAAATATACATAAAGTTACATTATGTAAAAGGTTATATAAGATTCTTGTAAATGTTAGCTTTATCAAATAATCATACGGTAATTCTCAGAAAAATTTTTAAAATCCTTTTTGTTAATGAAGGTTTTCACATCATTTAGGAAAAAAACAAAAGAAAGAGGGAATAAAGGCGACAATACCAGCCCCAAATCCCAAATCAAACTAAACCCAAAATAAAACCCCCAGCCCTTCCCAGGCCCATGTTTCCTGTGTAAGCTGCTTTCAAATAAATAGGGATTGCACAGGTGAGTCTCTTCCACAGGTCCTGTCCCACTTCAGATGAGGCATACTGGGGCCAAAAAGAAAAGCCCTCTTAAAAGAACACAGAGCGTAAAAGATATGCAAGTTCTGGCTTTCAAAACTAGTAAACATAAAGTATTTGGTATACTTTTTATGTTCACTAATCCAACTTTTTAAAAAAGCTTTACAAAATGAATTACTGTCACCTTTTAAAAAACATTATATAACAGGAAATGAATGTGCACAACTGTACAATTTTCTACGATTCTTTAATTCACAAATGCGTGGAAAAATGGAAACAAAGGGTGAACGAAGGTAGTTTGTGTTAAATCTATGCATGTATGATGTGTTTTTTTGTCACAAAAAAGGGCAGGATGGAGACAGTCTGTCCTTTGATGCGTGCTATGAAAGTAACTTTTTAATTTTTTTCTTATAAACACTATTAAATTCAGGCTGCTTTTTTGGTTTTTTCCCCTCTTTATCTGAATATACAAGAACATTCATTATCAAATGTTCATTATCATCAATACTACAAAGAACAAGACACAAATTTCAAGAAACAATGGAAAATGTTAATAAAGCTGAAAGAATTGAATTTTTAATTTTTTTAAATTTTTTAAAGTTTTTTTTTAATGTTTCTGCAGTTTTAATTTTTTTTTGTTTTTGGTATCGAAGTCAGGTTTTTCTGGGCAGAAAATAAAGAAGCATAAGTGTATGAGAAAAGGCAATTCACAGGTAACCAAAATAACTAATATTAATAATAATTAATATTATAATAAAAATAGTAAATCTGGATAATCTGCAAAGAACCACTACTAGTGTATGTACCATTAAGAAGTTAGTACCATACCATGACAGAACAAAAGGAAAACGTACTTTGTTACAGTCAGATAAATGCATCTCCATCTGCCTTAAAACTGTGGTCTGCCATGCAATCTGCACAATTAAGACAATTCTTTGAAATGAAGATGAGTACCTCATCAACTAATCACAGATTTAAATGGAACCTTGAATGAGGTTTGCTTTTCAATAGGTCATGCCTCTTGTTCACACATTATAGTTGAAGATAAAATGACTTAAGTAAGAGAAATATTGGGCATAACGTGCCCAATTAATGTAATTAATTGCAACTTCACTAGTTGCCTTTAATTACATTAAGAAATGAAGCATTTGCTTTTTAAGCGTTCATGTGTTCCTGGACATATCAATCAGTTGTAATAAAGCTGGATTTTTTTACCAACAAAACAATAGATTTTATTCTTTGAGACTACATTCCACCCAACCACTACCTGATATGATCAATTTTTAATCTCTTGGCTCATTTCAAATTAATATCTACCTTTGTTAATATAAAATTGTTGTGTATGTCTCTACTTCAATATCCACTTAACTAGTAACAAAGGAATTTAATGCTGGAGACAGATTTGGACCACTATTGGGATCCTGTTGAAGATTTAAGATACGGCAAAGGTACATTACAGCAGGGTCATTTTTTTTAATGTTGTATAGTGGTTGTGAAGTGAGAGCAGTGACAGCCATCTCTGCCAGGAGATAAAACTGCACTGCAAGTCCCAAACAGCTCAAGTGCTGCCAGGCCATCTTTTCTCTATGCATTGATTTTTTAAATTATTATTCCTGTATTATAGATCCTGTTGTCACTTTTGCTGGAATAGGTATATTGGGCTATTAGACTTTATTTTCATATGCTGCCCTTATATCTTATGTCCTGTATCTTTTTACCCTAACATCTCTAGATAGCAACTCCTTCCTCTGACCAATGCAGACATTATGACATTATGATTTAAATTTTCCTTTGAATTAGTTTTAAGACAAAGTGCAAAATGTTGGTCGTTACTTTTAAAGCCCTACATGGTTTGGAACCAGGTTATCTACAGGATCTCCTTCTCACGCGTAATCTGTTGCTCTGGAATAGTCCCTACGGTCAGCAAGGACTAGGCTGATGATGACCACCAGAAAGGCTTTTTCTTCAGCTTCCCCTAGACTGTGCAATGACCTTCCGGAAGAGATTTGATCACTGAATATGCTGGCTGAATTTTAAAAAATATTGATTCTTCTGGCAGGCCTATCCAGATTATTTTAAAATTATGACTGTTAACATCTACGTTTTAAAGTAAAGAATTTTTAAAATATGTATGGGCGTATTTTAAGTATATAATATATTGTATTTTAATTTGTGTTGTTCCTCACCTCAATACATGAGAAGTGGGAACGAAAAAATGTAGTAGTAGTAGTAGTAGTAGTAGTAATATGCTTTAATCTGGATATTTAATAACTTTAGATCTGCATAGTTCATGCTGGTCTAAATACCACCAAAATATTATGTACTCATAATGATCACTTAACTAGACTGAAACTTCACGTTTGTATTTGAATCTTCACACTTTACCCTAATTAGGACTGTGAGGAACGGCTTATCAAGTGCTTAGAGGTAAGTAATGTGTGTTGAGTGATTTTTTTTCTTTGATAATTTACACACTTTTAAAATCATACTCTCCACTTTATCTCCTTGATAAATAAGTTCCATTTGGAAGTATAAATGCTGGACTGCTGAATGTAGTTCTGTCTCCTACTTGTGTAGATTGCCCTCAATAACACAGAGACCGACTTCATTCCTCCAAAGGTATCAAAGTATATCTCAGGCCCCTTCCACGCAGCTTCATAAAAATCCACATTGAACTGGATTATAAGACAGTGTGGACTCAGATAATCCAGTCTGAAGAAGATATTGTGGATTATCTGCATTGTTATTCTGGGTTATATGGCTGTGTGGAAGGGCCCAGTGATACATTTCACAACCTTCTTATGGCCAAAGATAGGTTGGTCTAAGACACTTGAATGTCTGATAAGGGACATTTTTATTGATTTCTTTCAGTTTGCTAACTGGGGCAAAATCAACTGTGATGTTTCATGAGAAAACCTCACTGAAATGAGATTTGCCACCCTTTTCCCACCTGGGGCAAAGGCCTGATCTTGTTTTGTGGATAGATTACTTTCTAGCAAATATAGGTACAGATTATACCCATTATGTAAACATATTTTTCAATATACATTTTCAACAGTAGCAGAACTATCTTTTTAGTTTCTGTGATTGCAGTATGTGAGCCAAAATCAATCCCTTCCACCTGTACTCAGAGCAGGTTGAACTGTACTTTCGTTTCTCAAGACCAAGACAACAACCATAATTTTACAAAGGATCTAAACACAAATGTGTAAGCAATGTGTGAAGCCACACAAGCCCAATCAATATAATTATTATGTATGCACTACAGCAGGTTAGCATTATTCGTTTCTCAGGAGCAGTGCTCTGATTTTCTGCTCCCTATTGATAAAATGGATACTAGTAAGTTAAATATGCAAACACTGTGGTTATTGTGTCATTTCTTCAACTTCAATGTGCGGATAAAGAACAGGATAACTCGTCTAAAATATAGTATTCTGAGCAACTCTGCTTCTATTTTAAAAATCCCTAACCCTTATGAAAATATGTGGGTAATGCCTAAATAACACAGAGCTTGACACTGTGCATGACCTGAATATAGTTTCCTTTCTGCTGATATTATTTATGTTTTATACAAAAATCAAAACCTTTAAAACATGAATACTGCAACCAGAATAAATTATGGAAAAGTAGCTCAGTATCCTAACTTACTACATTTGCATTGTTTTATTCTAAGTACCAAATGTCAATTTCTTTTGTATAAAAGAATGCTCCACAGCCCTATTTCCTGTTTTATATGGGAAGAGTTAAAAAGCAGCAGTGGGAAATGGCAGGCAGCATGGCTGCGGTATGATACAAGGCACAACAGGATGATTAGCATTTGTTTAATCTTTTTTAGGAGCAGTGGCATGTTGCAGACATACCTTGAAGAGCCAGGACTGCATTTATCCAACCTGTAACAGTGTATTTCTGGAAGGCAACTCACCAGAGAAAAAGACAATTGTCCTTATATGCAGAAGGAATGATGCTCAAAGAAGATGAAGGGCTTAGCTGGTTCCTGCAAAGAGGTAGTGAGAACATCATTGAAACAGACGGAGGTGTGAGCTTGGTAAACTGCAGGTTGTTAAAGATGGATTCCGCACGAGAAAAAAATTGTCATGAAAATATAGAAATATTTTTAGAAGCTATTTTTTTTCTTCAGACTGAAAAATATTCTGCTATGAGAGGATAAGCAGAGGATAAGCAGTGATGGTGGTGAAAGGAGAAGTGGCTTCTACCCAGAAAATAAAGGGAAGAGAGTATAAAGAAGTGTCCAGGTTGGCTGAAAAAGCATCCCAAAAGAGAGAAGTAGACGCCTGTTGTATTTGCCTGTCAGTTCTGGATCCAGCCTGACAGTTTCAACAGGAGAGAAAACCCCTCTCCTTTCGGTCCCCAAGTCTGCCTGGAGCAGAATGGGAAACAGCCAGGGATGCTCAGTTGCTGGGAGATCAGTTGGAGGTATCAGAGTGAACGCTGCCAGGGCCTTCTGTAGGGGAGGTCACTGACGAAGGAGTTGTAGCATCTTGCCAACCTCCATTAGCCTAGGAGGGATAAAGAGAAAACTATCAGTCACATTTGCGGTAAAGGGGGTTAATCCCAAAAGAGTTCCCAACACGGGCTCGCACCATCCGCTTACTAACACAGCTATGGGAAAACTTTGGTCCTCCAGATGTTTTGGACTTCAACTCCCAGAAATCCTAGCCAGTTTACTGAATTTTAGGAATTGTGGAAATTGAAGTCCAAAACACCTGGAGGGCCAAAGTTTGCTCATGCCTGTCCTAATAGATACACTATCACATGAGTCGTAGGCAAATCCAGTGTTAATAACTAATTTTAAAAGGAAACAACCTTTTTGTTAATGTAGCCTACTTCTTCTGATGCAAGAAGTGAAACTGGCAGTTAACAAAATATTGAATGTTCATAGTGATCAATTAATTTTAAAGAGACACCAATGTGTAGTACAAATTGCTTGCAACAGCATAAAATGAGAATGAAGCCCCATGGAACCCATCAAAAAAGAGTCCCATTGAACATATGAGAAGGGTGTTCATGCTACTCAGTCTCTCCCCATTGAAGCTCATTATGTTTGGAAAGTGAATCTGAAGAGACTCCCCTATGCACAGAATTGCTCCTTGAATTGAACCACAAACAATCAGGGCTCCCAATGACGTCAAAAGATTTTAGACACAGCAGCCATTAGTAGCACACTCTTACTCACATGTTTGCAAGTTTCAAAACACTTTTACTGAATTCTACTAGTTCTCAGATCTTAGCTTTAGTAGTGGTTGATTCCAAGGCTTCAAAACATATTTCCATGGGTCATTAAAGTTTCGATTAGAATTGAGATACATAGCTCATCCATTATACAGAATTATAAAGTTGGAGCAGACTTTGTTGGTAATATAGTTCAACATCTTTTAAAATGATCCAGACCAATGATCCCGATGATGCACCCCCTCACCTCACCATCGGGACCACGTTAAGTCACTTCCTTCCATGAATCCTGGTGAGTGGATTTTCTTCTACTGAACTTGTACAGCACCACCCTTGCTGCTTTCATACGGTTGCCGCATGTGGCAGGGATGTGGCCGTGGCCGTTTTTTATTTTATTCATTTATATTCCACTCTTTATGATGGGACTCAAGATGGCTTACAAATCACAATACAGTAGAGTTTTGCTTATCCAACATAAACGGGCTGGCAGAACGTTGGATATGCGAAAATGTTGGATAATAAGGAGGGATTAAGGAAAAGCCTATTAAATGTCAAATTACAAATTAAGCGCCAAAACATCATGTTTTACAGCAAATCAACAGAAAAAACAGGTTAATACACGGTAATGTTATGTAGTAATTACTGTATTTACAATTTTAGCATCAAAACATAGCAATATATTGAAACAGTTTTGGATCTGGGCGGGAGGCAGACTGTGTTGGATAATACAGAACGTTGGATGAGTGAAGTTTGGATAAGCGAGACTCTACTGTGTTATAACAAGTAGAGTTATAATAACAAGTATTATAATAAGTACAGATTAAAAGTTATACAGTAGCATCAGTAAAGAATCCATTGAATTACCGTAAATCAATTTAAAATCGATGGAAGAAGAATGTAAGTACCGTATATCCCGGGGTACTAGACGACTTTTTATGCCTGGAAAATCTTATTAAAAGTTGGGGGTCGTCTCGCACGCCAGGTATAAAATTAAAATAATAATATAATTAAAAACTACGGCTCCCAGAATGCCTCAGGCGTTTCTCACAAGGCCTGGCCAGGAAGAAGGAAAGTGGCCTGAGCAATGGTGGTTTCTTTTTCCAAGCATTGTCTCACGGGAGAAGAGGCACTTCTCGCAAGGCTCGGCAGGGCTGGGAGGCAGAGGTGTGATGGCGGCGGAATGAGGCCAGGAAGAAGGAGAACGGCCTGAGCAGCACAGGAGGCCCTTCCGGAGGTGGCACAGGAAGCAGCCCAGGGGCAACCACACAACAGGCAAAGAGGAGAGGAAAAAGAATCATCTGGCTGGAATGCGGAGTCGTCTTAAATGGTGAATATATCCCTAACTCTCTATTTTGTGTTTAAAAGTTTGGGGGGGGGGGGGTTCGTCTTATAGCCCCAGTCACCTTGTATTCCGGAATATACGGTAATCAATGAAACCATACAATACAGTGTTAAAAACCCATTACAGTCATGTCCAAAAATCCTGGACAGGCTCATATAGGGAGATAAAGTTTTTCATGTAGCTTGGAGCAATGATGCATAGGGCTTTAGAAGTCATGCTTAGCACTTTGAATTGTGCCTGCAACTAATGAAGCTTTTGCAATACAGTTTATGTTGTGAAAAGATTTGAAAGAATGTTTTATAAAATGATGTACAGGTGGTAGCTAACACTGGGGAGGCTTTCCGAGATGTATAAAAGGAGTTTAACTAAATGCTGGAAATGTGAGAAAAATGTTGAGGCATTCTGTCACATGTGGTGGTCTTGTAAAAAGACTCAGAAGTACTGAAGTCAAATATACATGATGGAAGAAGATATTGTAAGGGTTAAATTTACAATGAAATCAGAACTTAATTTGTTGGAGATACTGGTTGATCAATTAGAAAAGGAAATATGGAAGTTACCATTATACATAAATACTTCAGCGATAATAACTATGCCCAGACATGGAAAGAATCAGATATCCTGACCCAAGAAAAATGGCTGATGAAGACATGTGGATTAGCTGAGATGGGCTCAGGACAAGATACTACCATCCGGAGAGAAAATAGAGAAATGGCTTCAATTGGCAAGAGTGCAGGCAAGACTGCATTTTACAATCCTAACTTGTACACTAAATTTAAAGCAGAGTGAGACTTGGAAAAAGACGTATGAAAATTGGTGGAAGGAACATCAACAATTATGATATGCAGAGATAGTAGACCTCTAGCAGAAAATAGCAATGGCTTGGAATGATTAGTGAAGAAAGTCAAGTAAGCAAGCACAAAGATAGGTTTACAACGGAACATTAAGAAAACAAAAATAATGATAGATTACATAACTTTTAAAAGCAGATGATGAAGACCCTCAGTATGGAGAGTGCAGTCAATAAATCAGACAAAAACTAGTACTTGGAAGGACAGCTATGAAGGAACTAGACATGATACTGAAGTGTCAATACTAGAGTTAGGATTGTCCATGCCCTCATATTGTCAATTTCTATGTAAGGTTGTGAAAGCTGGACAGTAAAGAAAGCTGACAGGAAGAAAATCAACACACTTGAAATGGTACTGAAAAAGAGTTCTACAGCTATTATGAACTGCTACAATAAAAATGAACAGGTCCAAGATCAAATCAAGCATGAACTCTCCATAGAAGTCAAGATGACAAAACTTGAGTCTGCTGTACTTTGGAGGTATCATGAGAAAACATGACTCACTAGAAAACACAGTGATGCTTGGTATGCTAGAAGTTAGAAGTAAATTAGGAAAACCACATTACAGATGGATAGACTCAATCAAGAAACAACAGCTCTGACTTTACGAAGCTGATGGTAGGGTGATCTGGAAGTCTCTAATTTATACAATCATCAAAAGTCAAGTCAACTTGATAGCTGTTATCAACAGCAATCACTGGCGTACTTTGAATACCTGATCATAACACTCTCAGCATTTCCATATACAGGTAGTCCCCGGTAGACTCATAAACTATGAGTATAAATTACTCATAGTTAAGAATGGGGTAAGACAAAAGGGAGTGAGAGAAATCTATCCCAAGGAAGGGAAATTCACTCTTGGAAGAGTTAACATGGGGGAAGAGTGTTCTAATGGAAGCTTTATCACCAATCCTCCGCCCCCCCCCCCAAAAAAGTCTTTTTTTCAAAATTCAGTTATCACAGGGACAGAAAGTGATGTGAAATCTTCTGAACAGAGGCACAGACAGCAAAACAAACACCACAGGGGTGTTAACCTTTCCCTGTTCTATCAATCGTTTCTATTTATCTATCTATCTATCTGAAGTTACACTCAAAATGTACCTGATTGGCTTACATAAGAACAAACCTTATTCTTATATTTAGCAATTCATTCCCTACCTAATTTTCTTTTTATTTTTGATTCTGCCAAAAATCTAAGTTTGTCTATCCCAGTCCATTTCTAATATTTACCTTGAAATGAAGGCATCACTTGAATAGGAAATCCTCTATTTAGGTTTAGCATGTTTCTTCCATCTAAGTGGACTCTTGAATATTTTGTGAAGGCTTTGTCTTTTATTTGCCCAAAGCTTGCAAACTTACACATCTTCTCTTCTCTGTTTTTTGGTAGTATATTTTTGTTTTTCCTCTGCATTATGCATCCTCAGGTCCAGTCACGCAACACACAGTCTGTAGTACCCCTGATGTTTCAAGCTGTCTATGAGGGTCTAACTCAGTGGTTCTCAACCTGTGGGTCCCCAGGTGTTTTAGCCTACAACTCCCAGGAATCCCAGTCAGTTTACCAACTGTTAGGATTTCTGGGAGTTGAAGTCCAAAAACATCTGGGGACCCCAGGTTGAGAACCACTGGTCTAACTGCTCATTTCATTCCAAATCTGTTATTGTTGGTGTTGGTAAGTTGTATTTGGTATTATAATTGTTGTGTATTCTGCCAGTCTTGGCTGTTCCCCTTGATCAATCTGCTCCACTATGAGATCTAAGATTTGCTTTGATACTGTTATTGTATCCTTAAAGTCCTGTTTAATTATACTGACAATTACACTCTGGGTTAATTATTTCTTGAATCTCAGTAACAATCATAACGTTTGAAGTTATGACATCTTCAGTTTTGTTCATAGGCAGCAATGCAATAAGATAAGATAGAGGAGTTTTACTTTCTGGTAGCAAATGCTGTAAATTATTCACTTGTTGCAACTGGCTTATTTTGTCTTGGAATGTGGACTGTTAGTTACAATATAGTTCAGTTCATCTTTGAGGTTGTCTAAAAGTGTCTTCCAATTAGTAATAAATCATTTTTTTGAATTGGGGCTAGCTTGGCCAAAAATGAAGGAATCTCACTTTCATCATCAAAAGAAAGTA